CACACCCTTGTGTGCGAAATTTGTTTACCTTTCCACTGTGGTCAAACTTCTGACAAACATCACAAAACATTACGTTATTTTTTTCATCGAATATTAGCCATTTTTTCTCTTGAAGCCACGTCTGTTGAAAACGATAAACTTTTTTTTTCTTAGTGGGTGGCGACTCAATCACCCCAGTGTTGACACATGATGCCGCACTCGTACTCTGCTGAGATTCAACATTTCCTTCAGTGGTAGAAACGTGTCCAAGTACTACATCCTGTTCAGAAATGTTTCCATTATCGGGATCATTTTTTGTTGCTTGAGATACTGGGCATTCAGCCGTCTCAGATTTTTTCAACGATGTCAATAGTCCACACTCGAAAAGGCTTCGTTGTTTTGACATGATTGTATACCAACCGAATGACACACGACTACCGAGCATGCGCAAATTTGTATGCTGTTCTGAGGTCACGCGAGACCCAAAGTACTCTCACAATGTACGCGAGTACGCTACCAATTTACTTCCGGGTTCTCGATCGATGCGATCACGGACGAATTTGATTTTTTTCACTTGTGCTTTTGAATTTTTTTACAATATTGGTTAAAACTAATTTAGGCTTAGTGAATATAATGAGAAAATGTTGTGTTAATTTCTACATGCACAGCGTGCACATTGGATTTTGAGTTTACTTGCACTAGCTAATAATCTATGTGCATAGTGCAGTGTGCACCCGAGTATTTCGAACCCTGGCAAAGCACACATAAACCAAAACTTGCATTTTTACCATGAAAAAATTTACATAATTATATGTGTTAATAATAGAATGAATACAATAGGGGTAGAATTATATATTGGTCCATGCGTTCAAACTCGTAGAAGGTGACAACACTTTACGGTGTACAGTCCAACTATGACAGTCATTTCAGTACTTTAGTTTTAATAGTTTTGTTTACATACCTTTCATAGCTTTGATTGCATCTTCAACGGTGTCATAATGTTCAAAACCTTTGATATTTGCTCTAAGTATGATTTCTAAAAGTTCAGGTTTTAAGCCAGCTAGTGCTACTTTAACATCACGTTGTGCAAATTCAACAAATATTTCTTTTATTGCCTAAATGAAAGATAATACAACAATGAAATGAGACATTTAAATAAACACAATATGATGTGTATTTCTGTGGTTTGTTTTCAATAATAGCATCAGACTGTGCCCCTTATCACATAATTTGTTTTGTATAAATGTTAAATTGATAAATACAGCAGTACCAGGTAACCATGGTGATATACTTACAAGAATAGACGTATAATCAATATGAGTGACTCTTGAGGCATCAACAACTGCTGATTTGGCGTGTTCTCCTTCAATACATTCACCTTTAACAGTATCTGTGACATGTTCAACGGCGGGAAAATATACACCAGCTTCAATCTCAATCACAGTCACTTCTCTTTCTTTCACCTGCAATGGTTATACTAATTATTAATGTGGCAAACAATCTGTTATTGTGCTATGATGTAGTGCCTAAATGGACAATATATGTATTTACGCTTTCGCTCTACCAAGGAGTGCATGGATGGCAGTTTTTAATGGAATTCTTTGTTGAATGTCTCACAAAAGTTGATATAATTCGATAGTAATACAGGTACCATGCCCTAAATTATTACTTGTCATGGTGATAATGCTGTGCTAAACTTAGAAATCTAATATATAGAGTGTGAATTCACCTGGATTTTTTCAGTATAATTTCAAATACAGATCGTTTTAAGCATTGTTGGGAGAACAGTTGTTAATATTACCTCAATATCTGGCTTAGCTTGACCATACAGAAGAAAACACAGGTCTATGCCAATACCAATTATAATACCAATCTCAACACCTTGCACCAAAGAACCAATAAAAGTCCCAAGCCAAGATATCAAATCAATTTCTGTTGGTTATAAAAGTATGATAACACAATGAAATTTCCTGCAATACATATAATCTTCATTTCAAAACTGATACAATGTATAATCAGTCTAGACTGTATATGGATGATAGACAATTGATCAATGAATTATTTTGGCAGGCTGACGATATTTTTACCAAGTAATGCAAGAAGAAATGGAAACTGGTGTTTGGTTCTATTTATTGGTAGTCAAGTCAACAAGATACAGCCACATTTAAACAGACCAACGATCACAATCAAGATAGCAGATAGGAAAAGATATTTTGAAAGACGAATGTGTGTGCAATCTCTACTGTTCATTCATCTGCCACTAATCAGATGGTTCTCGTCAACCATGCAGGTGATGTTGGCCAACTGATCAGACAGCTCTGATCAACAATTTCATATCAGGGTAACAAAATTTGCAGTGTAAAAATTGTCATCACTCGCACCTCAAAAGATAAGGTACAGTCTTTTGATACATGGATAACATCTACTTACTTCTGACTACCCATAGCTTTTTAATTGACGAATGGTCAAACATGTTGATAACAGCACATATAATAACAGCAGCGAGAGCGGCACTTGGAATGTAGAAGAATAGTGGAGTCAAAGTTGCTAGTGATATAAGAACTAACGCTCCAGTAAAGACCCCACCAAGGGGAGTTATAACGCCACTCTGGGAGTTCACAGCAGTCCTGTATGAACGAAAAACATTTGTTATACCTTATTTGTGGATTAAATTTAAGGATTAAAATTAAATATTGTTTTATTGATTGGAGAGTTTTTAAGTTTATCTGTATAAGTACATGCATGTTGTTAATGTAGGTATCTGACCTTTTTTTTTTCAATTTCAGTATCATTAGTTTTATCATTAATCAAACATTTTACACACAACTTTAAGATGAGCCTGTAATATGTACATATGTATGCTCTAAATTAAATGTATGCAGTGGAATAATGTAATCTAGTACTTAAACCAACTATTACCACAGCAACAGAGCTCCAATACCATGGTAACAATACATCTCAACTATACCAGCTATAACTACTGGATAAGATGAAAACACTGATTATACAGTACTGTCATCTGTCCAAATTTGCTATAATGTACTCATGATCTGATCACAAATGTGTCAACGCAATTTTGTAAACATTGCTAAAAATGTTCACTGCTACCAAATGTCAAGTTTACAGACTCAACTTTAACTTGTGCAAAATGTACAGTCCAGTTTAGGTGCAACTTTAATTTTTCATAAAAATTAATAATTTTAAAATCATTGTGATTGATAATTTCAACTTTTTCCATGTAGTATTTACATATTACGTTCTTATATTTAAGCAGATTCATGGTGGTTTTGAAAGCAAATTACCTTAAAGTGCGCTAAATGTTATGTAAGGACTATAATATAACATCAGTACCACACCACGTTATCCCCATGTCCCTAAAAATACCCTAAAATGTTTACAAAATCTCACCTTGAGAAACTACCAGTTACAGGGTAAGCACCAACAAATGAACTCATGACATTGGCAGTACCTGAAAACATAATCATAAGAAAGTCATAACTATGAATGTACCGGTACCCCTGATTAGAAGATTCAGAAAAACTGAAAGTGTTTATCATAATTATGTTGCTATTCAGAATGGTGTCAATTTTTTTTTAAGTTCAATGACATGAAATATAATGTCACAGAGACTACCATTTTGCTCTGACAGTTCTGTAGGTGTTTGTTTATATTAGTGTAAAGGTGCTTGTGTTATACAAAAAAAAATTACTATTACAAACTGTACCCTGAATTTGAGCTAACTTGAAATTTATAGTGAATTTGTACCCAGATGTGTGATAAGGCAAGTAACGTAACTGAATGCTAGATAACATAGATAACAATGTCCTGTAATGTAAATGACAGTCAGTGTGCTAAGAATGAATAGAGTGACCAAAGACAGGAATAGAAGTAGATAAATAAAATACGCATACCAAGGGCTAACAATTCTTGGTTTGGCCATACTCTGTATTTATTTCTTCTACCTGTAATAAAAGAAAGTAACTTGTAGTGTTTCCCAAAATAAAGGTAACAAACATTAGACCATTCTAAAACAACAGATACTCTCGATAGATAGCTCCGCTGTGAGCAATGCAGGTTTCAAATAAAGAACTGAAGATATCATTAGAAAATGAACAAATCTGAGCGAGGTCTATCTGTGGTACCTACATGTATAACATAAAAGTTTGAAAGAGCCTTAGATAATCTACATGTTGTACATAAAAGTATGCAAATCTTTTAATCAAACATTAAAATTGTCAAATTTTGTGAGGTCCAAAAAAACTTTGAATAAACACCAGTTAGGGTGAACCATAAATTTAATGATTTGATAATATTCACAAATAGAAAACGTGATGAGAATCACTGCGACTTTGTATTCATTGTCAAAACGTGCCATTGCAGTGAAAATTTGGATTTCTAGAAATGTACGTTTCTTTTGCAATTTGCAAGACTTCTTCAATTCACACATGATCTTTATCACATAGCACATCCTTTTGTATCCAAATCATACAACAGATAACTTAATGTTAGGTACCCCGGTACTTCAGACACTGGCTCATAATTATGGCACTTTAATAACTTTATTTAATTTTACAATGTTATTTAATCTTCATGTGGAGACTTTTTAACAGTTTATGTCACTGTAATTATTCAGTCATGGAAATTAAATTTTAAATTATGATTGTGAATAGTAATCATGAATATTAATTACAGACCGTTTCTCTCGTATTGGTAACTTCACTTACCAAAAGCTTTTGCAATGGCAATACTTTCCAAGAATCCAATTAAAGGTACAACAGCAAATCCAATGCCACCTTCCTGCAAGTAACAGAAGGCAGGTTAGTACAATTGTCTCCCACAATTCCAAGGTGCAATCTCAGGGATTCACCTTTGAGCATGAATCGAAGTACAGAATTTTCAGAATAAATTAAACATGGATCAAGGATTCTAACTGTCATTGTGTTAAAAGGCAGTGGTCATTGGCAGAGGTAAATATTGGTTTAAATAAATAAACAATGTAATTCAAATTTTTACTTCGCATGGTATCCATGGGAACACAACATGATCACAGTTTTTACAACTATAGAGAAGTAACAGTTAGCAGCCCTTCTCCGTCAATGTTCTCCACAGCACATCTCAAAAAATAAGTTACCAGTATAATTAAAGATACTGAAGGCAAAGATGTATTAAGAAAAATGTCACGGTAGAATAATTCCAGGCCAAACCATAGTTCACAATGTACGAGGGACTGTAAAAGTATAACTTAATAACTTACATTAAATATGTCATTCACAGAGACATACTCTTTCTCACTTCCAGGATCTGTAGTCGGGGCAACAGTAGATGCATTCCACAACTGCTCCATGGTGCCATTTAAACTACGCTGATATTCTACAACTGTGTCATTGACAATGGTGATGTTAGGATCAGTGTTCATCTTGTAATGATCGGCTAATGGCGGCATTGGACGAAGATATGGAGGGAAGGGAGACTCAAATGGTGGAAGACCGGCTGGAACATGGCCAACAAGTGCGAAAGGCGATTCCCCATTGTATATTGCATAAGATACACAGGCTGCTAGAATCACTATGACTGCATTTTTGGCTGTTGAAAGAATATGATACACATAAATTTGGATTTCACAAACTATTTTACTATGATGCTATTTGACAATTGTTCTGAGCATGCAGATCTTTAGTACCGGTATGGACCAAGACTTAGAAGAACATGTTAGCAGGATTTCAGAAAGACTCGTGTGAAAATCAAAACATATTTAAGTGCATCTGTTTCATTTGTGGAGGAGAGAGAAATGGAACGAGCACCATTATATTATAAATGTCTATTAGTATTTAAATACAATTCATGATTTCACTGTTTGTACAATGAGTTTGACTTGTCACACAATATGAAAGAAACTATCAATTAAAATTCTGATAACCATGTAATACAAATCTATCAAGCTGAAACCCAGTGAATATTTCCTTTTTTGGGCCTGTGTTTCTTGTCAGTGTGCGCACCACAAAAACGTGCACAAACATTTATTTTCACTTATTTTGCATAGCGCCCTCTATTGACAATTTGATTTATGACAAAATTTATGTTCCATGAAATGTTTTAGAAAAAAGAATGCCTCATCAAAATTTACAACTTGAACACAAACATTTTTCACAAGGCCTTACAATATAAGTACAATATAACATGGATGCTACTTGTCAGATTTTAAGACGAGATACTCATGATGAAAGAAAATGGAAGTATTCAGTCTATATTGAATATGGACGTCCACTATGATTTTGAGTAGATGAAATTTGTTTAGATGCAAGGACAGAAATAACTTCCCTTAAATCTTAGATTTCTGATTATCAACTAACCCTTTATTGGCTTCTAATACAAAATCTGTATGTAGAAAAGAAAGTATTTTCTTGATGCTTACCTGTTCCAAAAAGCCATATGACTTTATATAAAATCTTCTGGGATGTGGTTTTCGCTTTTTTACCAGAATACCTTTCTTTAACTTTCTGAAGAAAAAAAAAATGGCGTATGTTAGACACATACAAATCAGACAGTAGAATTACACAAAAAATTAACATATCTACCACCTGAAAAACTAATTTTTACAAAATTATAAACATTTCTAACATAAATCTTAAGGCAGGTACCTTGCTCAATATATCACCACATTTAATAACTTGAATTTTCAGCTCATCATTTTTTTTTTTAAAGTATAGTAATATATGGCTAATGCCACACAGTGAAACTAAGTAATTCATTGGCACTTTGCACCCACAAGAATAACCTACATATATATCACAAATATGTTAATATTGTCATGTATCAGCTTGTGGATTAGTTGGGTTTAAATTCTGTTCCAGGTTAAAACAGATTTAATTTTCCACTGCACACATAAAAACAAATTTGATGTGGACTTGGAACATGAATAATCAAATACATACCTTCATTACCATGAGAAGAATAAAACATGTGGCCCCCATTACAAAGTCTTGCCACCTAGAAAGTTGTAATAAAAAAGTTGTTAAAAATCATGCAGACTGGTTCACTACCGAATAAATTAATATTTTCTTTTGGCTGAAAATAATGATTATTATACATCTGTATTGCAACGCCATAAGTTACTACCATATTAGTTCCTACAGCATTAGGAAAAGTTAATCACGCGCATAAGCATCCTAATAATAAAAACAAACATGTGCCGCCACCATGTGTTTGGACTTCACACAAAGAAGTTCGCTGATTCTGTTCTAAACTTTTTAAATTTTGGCATTCCCATGACGTATAATAAAAGGTTATTACAAAGATATCGCAAAGTACACAGACAGTATGTCGTCGCATTGACCTCCACTGACCGTCGGTCGATCCTTCTACTGTACTGTATTTGTGTATACTTTGAATATCCGTATTCTCATAATCTAATATTATATAAAACAAATAAAATGGATTATTATTGCCACCAATTTGTGTTGTGAATGACTTGAGTATTAGTGGTTTGCAATTTTTTATTTCATTCATAGTCTATATAATGTGTAGACAGAATCCACATACACAGCTTAGCATCTGTCTACTGCCATGACTGGTGGAATCTTTGCAGGAGATATATTATCAGATGTTTCAAATTAAATATACCTAGTTGAACAAAAATCACAATGAAATACAAATATTTGAATATCAGAGTAAATCAAAGTTCATAAAAAAATATTTTATATCTAGAAAACTGACTGGAATCATCTCAGGGCATGAGTATTTTCTATTCTTTCCAACAATGGCCGATACAGTCTTTGGTCAAAGATGGCCTGGAAATTATAAATCATTTTTTCCCCTTAAAACAGCAATATTCATTATCCTATATTTAATATCAATAACAAAGTTTTAACAATGTTGAAAAGTTCTTATATATGAAAGTGGTTTTTAATATCTAACAAAACACCAACAAAAAATTAATTTGACCAGAATAAAATTCAATTTACTTTGAGATTGTCTTGTATTAAAATGAAAAACGAAAGGTACATAGTACTATCTTATACATGTACTGCATTTGTTTTATAAGAATTACATCAATAGTGCATATAAACCAAAATTGCACTTGTATACTTGAGTACTTGATCATTAAAATATTATATATTATGACCATAAATGCAGCATCACTTCTGTAATTTACATAAGCACATACTCTAATACAATAAATACAGTACTGTATGTAATCCCCAACTTTTTTTTTCAACGTTAGGGAAATAATATATAGTACATCGTAGGATGGGAAAGCAGGCACTTAGGTGTAACAGTTTTTTTTTTCTGTTTAAATATTAAATATGATAATATCAGTTTATGTAACAGGTGGTAAGCATTGACGTTAATTATATTATTCACAGGAAATGACGTGGTAATGACTGTATTGACTTGATTCAGTGTCAGCTTGGATGCTATCAATAGGCGACAACAGCTGACGAATCAGTGACGTCAATCAGTCGTCAATACGTACTTTAGAATAGTCAATCATACTTTTATATATTGTGATAAGTTACAATGGAAAGGTTAAATGAGTTGTTGATGAGAACGTTTCGTGGGAAATACTGGTTTGGTGTAACTTTAATGGTACAGCCAAACTGCAAATGGAGAATCCAGAAAGCCAACTGATTGAACATAGACAAATTAGCATGTCAACTATTACAAGCATAACAAAAATACCCAGGTAGTCAAATTTAGATACATTGGTACATCCACGGAACTAAAATGATAAAAGCAGCCTTTGCATATAAATGAATTCCCGGTAGTACACAGGCTCAACTAAGCGCTGCTGGACATAAATTAAATATTTGAGAAATTTGGTTCAAAATGGAATTGTAGAAAAATAGTTATAAATGATGCACCAAAGTTATGGTCGGTTAACTCAAATCTCCCACCCCCAATTTAGTACAAGATTGAGGATTTCTAGTATCTGATTTTTGAGTTGAATGTAAAATACAGGAAATATATATATTCGCTGGATTTTATTTTCACTGAATCATTTCTTCAGCGAAAATTAATTCCAAGCGAAAATAAAGTATTTTAATACAGTATGAAATAGATCATTTGAGTTGATCAGAAATGGCCAAGACTTGACTCAAGGCCAATAAGGTTACGATATTGATGATATGGGTTTCATTACAAGGTGGTTTTCTAGTGGGAAAAGTTTGTTTTGAATCCAGAAATAGTTTTTACGGAAAACAAATATCAAATATAATTACTCATTTGTCATGGTCTTATCTGATTAAGTTCCTGTTTTGTTGTTTAGGAACACAGAAATGCAGTGTGAGACTATCTACACTAAGCAGATGATTTTTATTTGATCAGTTTATCTGCTGTTAAACAAACCTGATATAGTACTTTTTTAAATGAACACCTTATCTGATGATTTTTGAGATACTTGGCAGCAAAACACCAAGCTGTAATAGTATTCCATGCTTACCTTGTCTTGGGAATTCCCAGGGCAGTATAGTAGATATCATCAATAAAACCATGAGACTTGAACTTGGGAATACCAAATATATGCCGCAATTGACCCACACCAATAATGACGGCAGCAGCAGATGTGAAAGCATTGATGACATTAAAAGATATAAAATTCACTAAAAACCCTGAAGAAACAAAAATAAAAAAACACATTGGAATTACAAATTACATGTCATGTAGGTATTTGAGATTAACATTACAGATTTTCGAACTGTTTTGACAAATACGAAGCTTAAAAGAATGAAAATTGAACTAGTCTAATGAACTTGCTTGTGGTATCACTAATTTACGAGATCACTAGTTCAATGGCCTGGTGAAATAGCATCGAACTAGAACTGAACCGCTAGAAACTTTTTTCTTGTTAAGAAATGCAACTCCAATACAAATCATCTGCTCCATATTGTATGCTACTGGACCATTCACTCACACTGCTGTTATTTTCGCAAGCACTACTAATACTGCAAAAGCGTCAATTATTCACTGGGTTTTAATTTTGCCTATTTCGCTGACTGGAAAATGTGTTAAATTAAAACACAGTGAATATGTAAAAATTAGCATAAAATACATTATCTAAATGATAAAACAGTGAATTTAAAACCTACTGAATATGCCTGAAATGGTAAATCAGCGAAATTTAAACCCAGTGAAAATACGTCATTTTACAGTAAAGCAAATACAGAATTCACTGATCCACACATTATACGTCACTCCACTAACTCGTACTTAGATATTAGCTGAGTAAGGAATAGTGTGTTTGAATACCACAAAGATTCTTGGCTACTTTTGATTTTAAAAACTTACCAAGATGAAATATGCCCATCAATAACTGAGTTATCCCACAAAAGAATGCTATCGTGATAGCGTAGACGGGATTATGTAACCCGTCTTCTCGCTCCTGGCCACTGCTGAATTCAGACATAATAAGTGACATAACAGCAGTCGGTCCAAGCGTAATATCTTTTGCAGTACCCATAAAACAGTAGACAAAGTTACCCATAAATGCAGAGTAAAGTCCATACTGAAACATAATATAAACAAAAGTTACAAACTTAGTCATTATATTATATAAAATAATGTTGGTATACTCAACATTCAAGTAATACATGTCATATTTACCCTAGCAGTAGCACATTTCTAATCTGTGCATAAGGCAAAAACACTATTTTTGCTGATTTTTTTTTTTTATTTTTTATTGCTATAGCCTAATTTTGCTGAAGCACATGTTCACTGAAACACACATGGACCAAAAATTGCCTTTACTGTATGCTGGATCATTAAAATATAACAAGCTTTTACCATTGACACTTATTTACGTAAATGAATGCGCTACTATCGGTAATAAATCAAAAATACTGTGTATGCAAATATACATTGAAAATTTTTTTTAGCAGTTCCAGTAGCATTAATGTTTCACACCATCAGAAATGTACTCGTACGGATACCGTGACACTTTATCTAAATTTATCTTCTTTCAATGTTCTTATTTACAGATGAGTCTAAAACAAATCTTTCTAAATTGGGCATTACTAGTATTTACAAAATACATGTACAAATAAACAGAAATGTGCAATGTTGCATTAATATGGTGGATAACATACAACCACACTTGACAAATACTAGCACTTATACTGCCCTAATATATATTCTATTTATATTTAATTGGGGCTAGTACGATTGACAGTTTTAAAAAAACTTAAAGAGGGTCAACTGACATGCATTGCTGAACATTCTAATTCATTTTTAAAGGCCTGGGCAGAAATAAGAAGTGTTAACCAACTGTTGATGTAAACACAAAAGCTAAGACTGCTTTAAGTATATAACTTTAGGACTAGCTTATTTATCATTGCCAATATGTAAAAGTTATCTGGAGACTGGAGTTTATTCATACACTACTTTCTCTGCCATGTAATTTGGGTTTTAGGGAAATTTTGGTAGGTGATCCAGGTTTATTACATACCGGTACATGCAGTCAGAAAGAGGGTGTTAAATTAGAACTCTGACAACCGAGACTAGAATAATGACCAAGATGCAAGTAAACAACTCTGGCATTGCAAGTGATTAATGACGTACTGTAAATAAAAAAGCATAATTTTGCAACTAGGCAAGGCATTCAAAGTTATAAATCGATAATTTGAATACACAGACTTGTGAGCCAATCTTCAGTTTTCGAACAATCAATTTATCAACAAGTTTAGTTGCAAAGATTCACACAAAATCAGTGAATACAGATATGGTTGCAGCAAACTTTGAACAAAGATGAAAGATGCACGTGTTATGCAGTGCCCATAAACAGAAGCGTTTATGATTTGTTTTTTCTTCCACGGTTCAAAGGTCAAGAAGTGTAAAAGGGGGGAGGGCAAACTGTAGTATGGTTACAGGGAAGCTGCTATTAAAATACCAGTATATTAACAGTTACTGTGCCCACACACAGCACTATTATCAGAATGTATACAAATTTTAGAAAGTTTTGCTCAGGCTTAACAAATAGTCCATGTTTCCGAAAACTGGTTTATACTTCTGAGGCACAGGTAAGACTACTCAATATTTGATATGGACTGAAGCGACTTAAATCAACATGGTAACCTGCAGAATACAAATATCATGTACCATAAAACAGTTTATGTTTTACACAAGACGAAAAACTAGGAATTTTTTGTCGCAATTGTCACTGACTATCCCGAAATACCGATCTAAGTATCGATTGAGTTGGGTTATGGATTAAAAACTATATTTTGTTATTGGTCTTGTATGTAGACTATGAGGGGAGTTATAAAATCAACACCACCACTACATTGTACCGCCGCTGTGGTGTGCACTGTTTTTATTCAAATATTTAAGTTAATTTTCAACTTACCTGAAGTGGAAGTTTAGCGACCGTTGCATACGCCAATCCTTGCGGTAACACTGTCAATCCAACTGTGATTCCAGCAATAAAATCTGATATAAGCCATTTTGGTTTATATTTGGGTAGCCATTGTGTGATGGGAAATTTGGATTTGACATTGTCAACTGTACAGCTCTCTTTGGCAAAGTCTCCACATTTCTTTCCTACAAATCTAGCATTGGTTCTTAATCGAGTCGTCATTGTACAGTTTGGACGAAAACACTGAGCACACAATTCAGCTCTCGTTCAGAAGAGATCAAACCGTTGTTTATATAAAAACTTCAATAGATGATAAAGAATACAAAGAAAGGTTGAGACCAGCAATTCTGTTATCTGTTAAAAGAGATAAAAACATTACGATCTGAATGAAAAAAAAGCTAATCACTACGATGTACATTACATGGTTTGCAGGCACGTGCTAAAATTTGCGATAACCTAAAGTTTACACAGAGACTAACCCTATTACGTTCACATAGCAATGCAACCGGGTTGAAACTGTTCGACAACGCCTCGCTTTATATCATATTAAACAAAACAAACATTGATATCAAAATCAAACAAAAATTAGGACAGAAAAATTGTCACGCTATAAATATGTATAAATGAATGACCTTCAATTCAGATAATAAATATTTTAAATATATTGCCTCCATGTGAATAATTCTACATTGGGCGATAGAAAACAAATTTTACATAAAACAAGCTCCGCTGTTAGCAATGCACGTTTCAATTAAGAACTGAAGATACATGCATCATTAGAAAATGAACAAATCTAAGAGGTCTACCGTGAGGTCCCTATGTGTAATCAGATCAGACTTGCTGTTTTCAACAAGAAGTCGAAAATATCACTTTTTACCAAAAATGAAAAACATATTCACCAAAATTAGAGAATTAAAGATACGTATCATGAAATGAACAAATCTAAAAGGTCTACCATGAGGTCCCTATATGTAATCAGATCAGACTTGCCGTTTTCAACAAGAAGTCGAAAATATCACTTTTTAGTAAAAATGAAAAAATATTCACCAAAATTAGAGAATTAAAGATACGTATCATGAAATGAACAAATCTAAGAGGTCTACCGTGAGGTCCCTATATGTAATCAGATCAGACTTGCTGTTTTCAACAAAAAGTCGAAAATATCACTTTTTACCAAAAATGAAAAAAATATTCACCAAAATTAGAGAATTAAAGATACGTATCATGAAATGAACAAATCTAAGAGAGGTCTACCCAAGGTACATACACACCAAAGCATTCAGGCTTGTAGTTTTCAGGTCGAAAAAGTAAAAAGTTGACACTAACGACCACAGATAATCACTCATATGATAAGCTCCGCTCGTCTAAGTCAACAACGGAGCTAAAAATATGTTATCAAGATGTTATGCTATCACTGCATTTGTTCTATTATTGGTGCATGCACATGTATGAAGAATACAGTCATGTCTATGGTTAAATTAAGCAATATTATAATTATTCAACATACAAATAATGCAATTGTTCACTCACACGCACTTGATTGGAGATGCACTTTTAATAGAGCAAATATGATATTTGCTTTATGAAAATTGCATCTTCCATGGAAGTCAGGAAATATACTTATAAACTGTTGCTCATGTTGAAGAGAAATTTTGAAAATGAATATCAATTAAGACAACCATGATGCAGTTTGTTTTGAAAATCTTAAAACGAGGACAAATATGGAAATACATGTAAATGCAACAGATGACAGATGCAAAGTGATATATCAGTTTGTCCTTTTCATTTCACACAACTACTAGTAAATGTGAAATCAAAACTTGACCAGTCAGATAAAAATGTGAACTTCTGGCAACAAATATAACTAAAATATATGTATGTAATTAAATGCTGTCTTTACATGCCACCACAAAGTTTGACGAAATCATGAATTTGATCATTAAAATATTCATGCATGATACTGTAATCCAACACCAAAACGTGTGAGCTTTGTGATGAACTGCAAGTACTTTTATAAGTACAAACAGTACATGTATCAGTAAGTATCATAGCGTGCATCAACAACTGACATACATGGAGGTATATTACATGTACAAGGAACATCTCCCTCAAACCTAACATATCCTGGAACTTCATGGGCGAGACAGCAACAAATTCACTATTAGTGATTTTGTCATCCATATGCTTACCCAGAATCTGTAGCGACACACTCACCCAGGCAGGGTGTGGGTTTTGTACTTGTGTTGTACTCAGCTTCAGTAACAATGCTAGCATAATCAGCAAAACCACACTAACAGCAAGAGTGTAAATAGCACTTGTGAGATGTACGTCCTCTAAGATTAATTTATATATTGCCAAGTAGCCTAGTTATGGTACAAGAACTTATCAAAAGTACATCTTTACGAGTGTCGTAAAAATCTCTGCATGATAAAGCGACAACTATCAGAGCTTCTTATACCAACATAATAAATTACACGCCAGAGCGTCTTCTTCTACAAGGTACAGGCATACTTGTCCTCATTAAAATTCAGTGGTACAGGTCAAGGAGTCTCAACCAGCAGAAAAAAAATCAAGACCATAATAAAAGTACATGTATGACTAATGGGTACAGTGACACATGTACCAAGTTACAGGAACAAATAAAAGTAAATAAAAGTGTGTTAAATTTTGAGGTGAACTCTACCCGATTTCAAGGTAATCTAAAATAATTGCATTTTAACTGAGCTGTTTTGGGGGTATTCTCTGAGCAGTTATACAGATCCAGTAGTGTGCGTCACAACAGAGTAACAACCCTGAATTACACACACATACCTGCCACATAGGAAGAGGACAGATAAAGAAATAATAGGTCACATGACAATGACATAACCAGTCACAGCCACATTAGCAAGTATAAAGGCATGATTCTTTAGCAGAATACATGTGGTATACAATTACCTCACTTCACAGGACTGTAGTACTAAAAGTTGCTTTTTTTTTATTTATATCTTGTTCTGGTCCCACTTATACAGGAAGTAAACACTAGGTCAACTATTCAGGAAGTTTTTAAATAACACTTATTCGTTCTTAAACTCGTGTAACCATTGCCAATCCCTCAGGGGAATGTGCAAGTGTTATAAAATTAAAAATGTACTGTAAACTGCAATTTTTTACATTTTTGGTGAAAATTGTGAAATTTTGTAGCAGTGAAAATTTCTATGAATCCTTTGACATAGGGTGTCACTAACTTTGCTGAAATTTGTCTTCACAAATGCCATTAAATCATGGAATAACTAAATTACTAGCAGTGAAAAAGTTTACAGTACTAACTTTCTAACTTGAAGTATGCAAATTATAACTAAACTCTTTACCACGAAACTGTCAAAGAGCAATAAAAGAATAAATAATGCAACTAATTCCCAAACTTGTGCATGTGCTTATAAGCAACATAGCATGAACAAATACAATACAAAGTTTAAAATCCTATTAACCTACCACCAGAAACAAGAAGCCATTGTCATGCTAATAAGTTGGCGCTTGACAATAGAAACCATTAGATACATTTATTTAGTTACGTGTGAAGGACAGGGATTCCACTAGATAGAATACAATGTAATTTCATACTACGTTCTGAATGTCATACGTGGGCACAGCTGATACACATTATAAATATTGTATTAAAATTGACAGACACAATTTAACGTTCCAGTACAATCGAAATTAAGTTTCGAATTGTATTCACTGTGAAAGAAATCTTTCAAGAATCATATCGCACAATGCTCATAACTACGTATAAATCACGTGTACAAGTCAGATCACGAGGTGTCTTTTCTTAAAGTCGCATGGATATGTCAATCATATGACAGTAGCGGGCGTTCAGCTGTGGATGAAGTCTGCTTTACATAATATTTATCGTTGGAAGAATTTCACCGAAACGTGTTTAGTTAATCATGTGAAGATTTCAAATTACTTATTTAACACTACGATAATTTAAGTTTCAAGACATTACACGTTCAGTTCCGATGATCGCCTCAATAGCCGCGGTAAACAGAGCACTCGCTAATCACATTCGCCAAGTTTCAATAATGTAGAAGATGATTATACTGCTACAGATGCAACAGGAAAAGCATGTATGTTTTTTACTTCAGAATTGAACGCCGTAGTTTCTGTGTGAACGTAAACAATAGAACGCCATGGAGGTGTCAATTGATCTCAAGTAATGAACACGGAGGTGAATGCCGGGGTGAATGAAAGTGATGGAATATTCCGAACAACTTACCGGCGAAGCGGTGTTCACGGCGCCGGTGACTTCTTTCGCCGCAAAATTCCCTGCCCAGTATTATTTCGACAAAACAGTCACCGATATTCACTCCGGAGTGGAACGCATTAACACTACCAACCCACTCCCTTAGCATACACGTTCAAACACAAACGCCACGCAGTCGTGCCAGTCCATCTGGTGCGTGTATTTTCACCTATTATATGCTAATTTAATACAATACGTCACAGCTAAAGCTTTGGGTTAGAGTTTGTACTTCCGTTACCGCATTTAGGTTGCATTGTGGGATATAAAAACAAGTTTCCTGGCCACCTGACCTGTTTCCTCACTATAAAAATGTCGTTCAAGATACTTATGTCTGTCTGCTGGAAAAGGGGGCGTACCATGTTCCTGTTTTTGCTGTTTTTATCAATAATGTTGTGTTTTCCATCACACGGGAATGTCTTGCTGATTGTTGGTATGTTCACATTGATTCAATAATATGGCGTTAAGAATTCGGCGGAAAAATTCAAACCCGGAAGGGTTTAGTTTAGAGGGTCTATGGGCAGCTGGTGGGAGGGTCTATGGGCAGCTGGTGCAGTAAGTTTCATGTTTTCTTCTCTCAAGTTAAAGCACTGATAAATGAATTTAACAAGTTTGATCAATGTGTTTCATTTTTGCTTTCTAGAATTTTTATTAAACAAATTTGATCAATGTTTGCGTTGCCATTTTTTTTTGGAAAAATTCATTTCTGATGTTATTGTAGCATGGGCAGTGAAGAAGGAAATGTTCTTCATCTTCAATTTGTTGAGTGTTGCAAACTGGGCATTTCCTTTCTGCTACCTTTATATCTTGATGCCTTCCAGTCTCAATCTTAAGAGTGTGTGCACTAATTCTGAGTTTTGTCATGGCTGATCTATGGTATGGATTTTTTACAACTGCCAGATATTTTTCAAAGAAGGTGTCTTTTTTGAGTTGCCTATATGTGCAGAGCATGCAATAAATCAAAACTACTTTGCTGAAATTTTAACTTTAGTCTTTCAACCAAAGTTTTAGTAATGTTATCTTCCTTCGTTGTTTTGATTTCCTTCCACATGTTTTCCATATTCAGAAGTTTTAGTATGTGTTTTATCCCAGACACCCAATTTTTCATTCCCACATTGTCTAGTAGTACACTAAGTCTGTATGCTTTAAGTACGAGAGAGTTGTGTGGTTTTTTAGTGATGTTAATACATTATTTTATCATGTGTGTAATACTCGAAAGAAAGAGTGGAAGTCTTCCCAGCTCTAGTAGGCATGCTTTGCTATTCACTTTTAATAAGTATTTACAAAATTTAATATGGACTTTTTCCATGGGCAAAGTGAAGTTTATTATGCTGGACTAACCCTACCCCTGAGCTGAAATGGAGAGAACCTGAAGAAAAGATTAAAAAAAAAATGGGACACTGTCTACATTATTGACACTTTCAATTTGGCGTATGTTACCCTTTGTAATTTCACAAATCTGCTAGTATATTGCTTGATGAGATTATTGGCTTGAAGACAGAGACCACTAAATATAGTTTTATGATAATTACTGATAATGGACCAGGTATATTTTATAAAATTTCAGGAGATGATGCTGGATTTGAAACACAGGTGTACAACAATACTGTTTGTCGTACTCCAAATATCAACTATTTGGCCAAGAAGAGTGTGATTTTCAAACATGCCTACACAACAGTGAGTAGCTGCTCACCAAGTAGATCATCAATCCTGTCAGGACTTCCACAACATCAGAATGGAATGTATGGTCTTCATCAGGGTTACCACCACTTCATGTCTTTTGATGCTGTACAGAGTCTGCCAAGAATATTAAAACATGCACAGATAAGAACAGGTAGGAGTAGTGATAATTTAAGGTTATTACGAGAATACCTCAAAGTATGCACAAAGACAGTACAGCTGGAGTATCGTCCAACACCCAGCAGAGGTCGATGCGCGGAATACTGTCATAACCTTATTATTATACATCTTTTCTTTCCAAGCATATGTCATGGGAATGCCGAAATCCAAAAAGTTTAGAACAGAATCAGCGAACTTCTTTGTGTGGAGTCCGGTCAAACCCAGATGGCAGCTTATGCGCATAATTATTTCATATTTTGAATTTGTAGGATGAAAATACCCTGTAAAATATCGCAAAATTACGGCACGCTGTAACTTATGGTGTTACAATGACAGATGTATAATAATAATCTTTATATTGAACTTGTATCCTCATTGAGATGACATGACAATAAAGAACAAAATTCTAGTATGTATAGAGAAAAAAAAATGGAAAATCATAACTCTATTATTAGATTAGATTTTTTAATTGTGAGGCAGCTGGTTGTCTGAATTTTATATTGTTCTCCCTTTGTTAGAGTATTGATTTCTAGTTTTCATTTTGTAGGTTTCTAGTGAGTTTAAAGCGTTTTGCAGCCCGGATTCAGAAATAGACAGCAAAAGCAGATCATCTTCATATAACTGTTAGAGAAAGGGGGTCATTATTGGACTGCTCTATTTCATTTTTAATATCGTTTACATGAATGTTGAACAGAAGAGGTTCATCGCCCTGTCTGTATGAGAATCATGCATATTTGGTTACACGTGCATATCATAATTTTTTTGTATTTTGACAAAAATGGCTGATTGACAGTCATTTGTTTTTATTCATTTCTATGCTGATTCTTTGCTATTATATGATTAACTTGAAAGTTTGTACACAACTGCTTCTCTGTGATGGCTTGCATGATTTCGTTCAAACTCAGTACAATAACAATATTAATAACAAATTTGTTATCGCATCCTTGAAATAAATTTTTCATCAGTTAAAAGCAATAACAATGAAATACATAAAAAAAAAAATGTAAAATGCTCAAAAGAAAAGGAGAAAAAAATGATAAAAGTAAGAATTTTTTTTTTAATTGGATGTTCTGTTCTAATGTCAAATGTGGCATATACATATTCACCCACTTGTCTTATAATTTCAACATCATTGCAACTCATCAGGTATATAAATTTGTGATTAATGTTGTGGGCTGTACAATGATTCTACATACCAGATTTTGGTTGTACATTACATTTTTCAGTGATTTAATCAAATATGCTCCGTTTCTTTACAGTACAATTATCAGCAAAGACTGATCGCATCACAGCACTATTTTGCCAAAAGTATACCCACATTCCTGGATTGCTGTTAGTGATGGAATTTAGCATTAAACACAGAACCTGGACTGTGCATTGGCAATGCTTGTTCTATATTTCTTTTACCAATGCATGCAATATGCAATTGATAATCATTTGAAAGTCAAATGTTAAAATTAATTTTGTTAGCAATACGATTGAGCAGAAAGAAATTGACTGTAGGTGCATAGTGCAATCAAATGGCATGAGAAAACATGCCTATAGGTAAATTTGCAAATAAATTGACCATCGTGAGTTTGTTGTTTTAACGATTCTTACAAATGTGAGCAAACATTAGATATTGCTGATTTATTCAATATATATTTTAGTGACTAACTGACAAACACAAGACGCTGATTACAACTAATATATGTACATATGTTTGATCTTTACTGGTCTGCTATCAGATTAATCAGGTAATCGCCTGGGCCCTTGGTTCATGACCTTCATACCCTACATTTGCACTCATCTTTTTTGAGATGTGACATAGGTTTTTTACAATCTTCTGATGAGATAATGATTGGTTTCTAATATAAAATATCTGATTTAAAATATTTATCTAATATCAATGTTAACATTGACTTCTATGATTATGGCAAGGTGAAAAAGATGTCAAGTAAACTGACCTTTGACCTTTCTTCCACCATTGTCAAAATATTGCAAACAAACAAGTTCTGTTTACTACATATTTGCTGTTTTCCAATCACAAAACACAGAAGCAATGTTGAAAACTATATTTAAAATTGTTGAAAACCAATCAGTTTCTTTTCTTAAAGCGCAGTATTCATGCCATGTATGCGCGAGATATATAGGTCTCATATAAACAAAGATGCTGACTTCGGCTATTGCGCAGATCAACGAGTACAAACTGAGATGTTACAAAGTTTTAATTAGTTGCACCCAGGTCAAACCTCATACTTGTGATTTCCATTAGAAGAGCGCATTGGATTGTGGGAAAATCAATGTTTATCAACACAAATGTCGCACATGCGTTGGGCGGCGACCACCGTCCTTTAAACGTTTCTCAAATTCTAAAAACCTTTAAAAAAATATTTTTAACTAATGCACTTGATTACCTTGACCTACCAAGATAACGATAGTCTGGGCGTAATGTCACTTCTAAGCTAGCTATCAGCCTGCTTTGCCTTTTCATTGAAACTTATTAATATTAAAGTCTGTAACATTATTATCAATAATTTCAACTTATTCTTTCTAGTGTTTACTAATATGAAACATATTTATACAAACTGCAAAATATAAATATATGGGAGGTTTGAAAACACGCAAATCTAGCTCTAAGTCAGCTAAATGTTAGGTTATGCTCAGACCATACTGTATGTAAGAGTAAAAATATTCTGTTTTGTGTGTCAGGAATAATTGGAAAGAAACATGTTGGACCAGAATCTGTCTATCCATTTGACTTTGCTGAGACAGAAGAGAATAATTCTATAATGCAAGTTGGGAGAAATATCACCAGAATTAAAGAACTTGTACAAGAGTTTTTTAACACCCAGGATACGAGGTACAATTCATACATTATGCCAAATAGTTCATGATGGGTTTTCCCTTGGCATATATCCTTCATGGTAGCACATTTTTTAGTAACCGTGATGGTAGGATCTGTCAAAAAGAATGTGCTTATATCCTTGCAAAACACCTGACATAAGTTCTTGGCTGTGCATGTATGTCTAAAGGTCAATATATCTTTCTCTTTCTGATTTGACTATGCATTGTTATATGATTGTCAGTCATTTGTTTGTTGTCCATTGTTTACTGTTCACCGATTATTAAAACGAGTGGGTCGTCACCTGCGCATGCGCGGGAATTGAGTCCCAAGCAGCGATAACAACACACACTGAAAACGCAAAGGCTCATGGGTAGACACTTGTTTGTAAACAATGACACGCTATGGCCATCTGACACATGCGCAGGTGACGACTCCCCTGCTTTAATTTTGATTATTACGGATTCTTATAATATTAGTTTCTGTCAAATATCTGTGCATTAGCATTACCTATTGTTGTCCATGATAGTTGCATGCAAATAGCTGGAAATTTATTTTACAACTTCCTATACTGTGAGATACTTCATTTTAGCTGGAATTAATTTTCTCTGAAATCACTTTTTAAGTGCTTTGTATGGAATTTATTTTCACTGATTTTTGGCGAGTTGAATGTAAAATATAGGAAAAAAAGGTATATTCGCTGGATTTTATTTTCACTAAATTATTACTTCAGCGAAAATAGCGAAAATTAATTCCAAGCGAAAATAAAGTATTTTACAGTAGGTGATTTTATATAAGCATAGCATGTATATTCATTTGGTCATTCTGGCTTACCTAGTTACATTTATCAAAAATATGAAATACCGTAGTGGCAAAAACACAGGCCCTCTACTTTTGCTACTGACATCAGCAGGTTGCTTTTCTTTTTCTCCGACTGATTAATTGGAAGGAATAATCTCAGCATGTACTCAATGCTTTGAATATTGTGCAGTGACTACACATTGTTTATTGACTTGTATCATAATTTTTATTTCAGACCATTTTTTCTTTATGTAGCTTTCCATGACCCACATCGATGTGGGCACACACATCCAGAATATGGAAATTTCTGTGAGAAATTCGGGAATGGTGATCCAGGAATGGGGATAATAGCTGACTGGAAGCCGATCCATTATACCGCACTGGATGTGCAGTTGCCACCATTTGTGCAGGATACACCAGCAGCCAGAGCTGATATTGCAGCTCAGTATACAACTATTAGTAGACTGGATCAAGGTATATACCAAACACATTGTTTCATCCTCAATTATCCTGAAAAAATTTTGAGTTATTTCTCATCATATTATTATTAGATGCATTTCATTATTGATATGTTTTCATTGGTTGATTTGTACCACATGCAGCCCTGTTATAAGGTGACAACTGGACAGTGCTTGTGGTCAAATTATGAACTAGATTGTATGCGACTCCGTCATGTCTAATATTATCCCAATTTTGCTTGAATCGTTAAAAGTTTGAAAAGTTCTTTGGATACCATATTTGCGTATCCAATTGTTGTTTATTGTCATTTTATAAGTTCCCCATACCATATATTCACACTTTGTTCACCTGTATTTCATTTATACACGTGCACTCCTAATAAAGCAAATACATTACTGTGGAATACTTTATTTTCACTGGAATTTATTTTCGCTGAAAAGGCTTTTTGGGCGTTTTGTATGGAATTTATTTTCACTGATTTTTGATGAGTTTAATGTGAAATATAGGAAAAAAAAGTATATTCGCTGGATTTTATTTTCACGGGATCGTCCCTCCAGCGAAAATAGCGAAAATAAATTCCAAGCGAAAATAAAGTATTCTACAGTATTTACAGTTTTGAATTATAGATGTTTGTATAATGTTTGATGATAACAATTCATTAAGAACATGAATTGATGCTTAAATCTCCTACATTTTTTCATTGAAAAGGTATTGGTTTGGTACTGAAAGAATTACACAATGCCGGACATGCGAATGACACCCTAGTGCTCTATACATCTGATAATGGCATACCTTTCCCTAATGGAAGAACCAATCTTTACGAATCTGGAATGTCTGAACCGATGCTGGTATCATCACCAACTCACAAAACGAGATGGTCACAAGAAACCAATGCCATGGCCAGTACGTTAGATATTCTTCCAACCATACTGGATTGGTTTCAGTTGTCGTATCCAAAATATAAGATTTTTAAAGAAAATGTGAAACTCTCTGGAAAGTCATTACTTCCCATTTTGAAGGAGGAACCAACGAGTGGTTGGGAGACAGTGTATGCTAGTCACAATTTGCATGAAATAACAATGTACTACCCAATGAGGGTGGTCAAGCATAAAAATTACAGACTGATACAGAATTTAGCTTATAGAATGCCTTTTCCAATTGATCAGGACTTTTACATCTCGCCATCATTTCAAGATATCCTGAACCGTACCAGAGATCACACTGAAACACACTGGTTTAAGACACTAAACGACTATTACTACAGATCTGAATGGGAGTTGTACGATTTAAAAACTGATCCTCTAGAAACGCACAATTTGGTGAGTGACAAGAGCTATGCAGATGTCTTGAAAAATCTCAAAAAGAAGCTGTTGTCATGGCAACTAGCAACTGATGATCCCTGGAGATGTTCTCCTGGAGGAGTTTTAGAGGATTCAGGTCCATACAAGGAGAACCCACAGTGTATGCCCTTAGATAATAGATTATAGCATCAACAGCAAACAGAGTATGACAGATCTCCGAGGTTATAGCTCGCAAACAAAATTCGGTATTTCATGGAGTCAACAAAATATTTGTGCAGTTAATTCATTTTTAGAGTTCTGGAGCAACATCTCTTACATGCCTTGACAGATGCCATTCAAACTTTACACATATGTACATCATGTTCATGATCCAGTTCAAGATGGCCAGATGGCAGCCATTTTAACGCTTCAAAATTGAAGGAAAACTCAAGGCTAACAACCTAATACTCCCAGATGAAAGAGCTTGGCAAATGTAAGGACATGTAATTTACAGTTTATTTATATCACTTTTCATTCTCTAGATATTCAATTTTTCACCAGTATTATGTAGTCCACCATCTTGCTTCTTCTGCAAAGGATTATGGGTAAAGTATGACATCATATTCACTGTTGTCAGAAATTAAGATGATGTCACACTTTACCCACAATCCTTTGCTGGAGAATCAAGATGGCGGACTACATAATATTGGTGAAAAGTCAAATATCTAGAGAAAGAAAAGTGACACACAAAAACTATAAATTGCATTCTCCTACATTTGGGGAGCATTATGTTGCTTGGCTTGACTCCCCTTTTAAGTATGGATCGTTAGATTCAATTCAGACTTGGTACATACATTGATTATCATTTTGTTTCATAAATCTAATCTCTGACATGTGTTGACTGATTGCAATCAGACACATATGTTATACTTCGTGTCACATGTATTGACATGAATATGTTTCAAGTTGTGATTTAAAACGATTGATTTGAAGCTGAGAACTGTGCCACGATCAAAATCTTTGTGGGTAGATTTTATTAAAATGTTGTACATAAATAAGATTTTCCAGAACCTATAATTTGTCAGATGTTTTGAATAATTGAATCCACTGTAAATATACATCCTAGAACATGTACACAGGCAATTTTTACTAAAAACAGACAGGGACTGTCATTGCCATGACTTGTAAAATAAAATTGTACTGTATTTTTTCCAAATTGTTTTATATTTTATTATTGAGTAAAAATGTCTCGTGTGTACCAAATGTAGGATAAAACACAATGTCACATTTATGTCTAGGTGCTGTTACATGTACATATACGAACATTTTACATGAGCACTTTCAATGATGTGAGAAATGCAAATTGTGTCCACACTGCTTTTCAATGTACTGGTGCCAGTAAATAATATCAGTACACTTTACAATGTGACTTCACTATTGGGTGATAAAATATATTTACAGATTATATTACAACCTTTCAGAATATGTATATTATAAAGAAGTTTTATTAAAGTTTCATAAAACTAAATTTGCTTAAACTTGATCTTTAAAATCCCAAAATGGTCCACTCTATCCGTAATAGGAGTTGCTTTTTGAACAGAGAACTGGTACGAGGAATTGCTCATATCGGATTAGCATTCAGTAGAGCGCCCTCAATGGTGATGTACATCACTGAAGAGTAAGCGTGACAAGTAGAGGGATCGTAAGCAAAAGTGTTTGGAAGGTAATACCTCATTAACTTTTAGCATATGTGATTCCACATAGCGCACTTCAAAATGGTCAAAAATCAACTGTAACCCATTGTCTCGCAATGGTGGTTTCAGTCCCCATTAATTCAAATTGAAACGTAATTTCTGCCTGCGGACAATGATTTGAAAGTGTTTAACTCGAAGCAAACATGAGTGTACAAAATTTGGATATCCTTGGAGGTAGACGTGTATAGTATTTACCTCTCTATGAGGACTAATAAATACTCAAAAATAATTCATTTGGAACCTAGATTAAATGCGAATAAATAACAGGAAAACAAACTAGACAAAGAAAGACATTCAGGTAGCAGTGTTTTTTTTTAATTATTTGTGGTATTGATTTCAAAAATTGTCTGAGATCATTATACAGACTAGGGGGGTTACTAGTATGAAATGTAATTCATCTTCAATTCGGTTGTTCTTGCAGTATAGATAAGTTGTCTTCTAGCGTTTGGTATGTATGTTTACTCGTACTAGCGTATTGTCAACAACTTGATAGAGGTGAAACAAAGTTACCAACTATAAAGTACGTTATTTTCGCTGACATAAAATACAGTAAAATACCTTTTTTTCTTTGTTTTACATTTAACTCGTCAAGAATCGGTGAAAATAAACTTCATACAAAACAACCAGCTAAAATAAAGTACTTAAAATTGTACGGTATTTAACAATACTTTGCTTTATTTTTATTTTCCCAAAACTCTATCTGTCACGTCGCGACACTGGTAACAATGACTCCGTGGCGCAACGGTAGCGCGTCTGACTCCAGATCAGAAGGCTGCGTGTTCGAATCACGTCGGGGTCCGTGGTTTCTCCTTTTTAGGGGCACTCT